TATAGCAACTAGTTACCCTTTTTTTAAAGCAGAAAAGTAAGCAGTGGGATAATGGATGTTGATGCTTTAAAGTTGGTCTTGCTTGATGTTCTGTGGTTGCTATACATGACTATTCTGCAGAAGTACTTTTAGGGGCTTCATTAGTTTGCTACTTTTTAAAGCCAGCTTTATAAGAAAAGATTTTAGTGATTGGAGATGGTTCCTTTACACTTAAATATTTACCATTTGTGTGCAAGCTGTAATTCTGTTACCAGATTTGCCTTAGGTTCTGCTAAAAGTATTTTGCTAATTGAAAGAAAATTACAGAAGATGTTAATAGAAGAAAAATCATTCTGAATGGCTTCTCAAAAGGAACTCTTGAAGTTTTAGTAAGAGTTTGTTTTGACAGATGAGTTAGTGCCTTCACTAAATCGGCAGTTTGCTCGTTAAAAATAACCATCCTGGGTTGCAGTTCTGTGTGTATCATCTTCTTCTGGAAATCAATATATTGTTCTTTCTGGATGACTGACTCGTACGTGCAAATAGAAGGATGCCTGTTGCTTACTTAGAATAGTTCATACAACCGTAGGAGAAGAAAATCTTATTCATGATTGTGACAAGGGCACAAGGAATAGGAAAGGAGTGTAGGATGTTGAGAGATCACCAGGGATTAGTGGGTAACTAATTACAAAGATCATACTGCAGTGAATACAGGGAGATGTCAGGAGCTGATTGAATTGTCTTGACTTTCTTGAAATGCTACAAGAAGGTGCAGGGCCTGATGTTGTGTACCTGATCTTTTTAAACTTATTTTCTGCATAGTTGTGGGTTAGTGTAGTGCCATTGGCTTTGTAACTAAACACAACTGCTACAGAGCTCTGTGTCCAAGCATTGTGGAATGATTTGTGGGCAGTTAGAATTAAATGACTTTATTTTTTACTTTTTTTTTACAAAACGGGGATTATTCCATGATTATTCCCAGAGAATACAGGGGAACAACACTAAGAGCATTATGCTGTGGTTTGTCTTTAGGTTTTTGCTGCTTAACGACCACAGATAGATCTGACAGCCTCAAAATATTTAGTAAATGTACATATCTATACAAGTTAACAATGCGGGAGTTTACTGCTGATGCACAGGAACGGTGGGTTTTGAATTCCCGTTTGCTGAGATGTTGAATTCCATGTTGCTGTTCAGGCAATAGGCCGCCTCTAAGAGTGATTATTATGCAGGATGATGGTCCAGATAAAGAATATTAAGAAAAATATATCCTACAGAATACTATCATGGGGGTATCTCTATGGACATCTTGTAGGTTCTGGGGATCAGACACTTTCATGTTCCACTGTGTATTTCTAGTTATAGACCTGCAACAACTCACAGGCTTAAAAAATGATGTTGTACTTGGTTTGAATTCATTGGCACAGTTTTGTGTGTGTTAGGAATACCATTACTTAAAGATTGTGCTAAGGAATTGCTCTGCTCAAGTGTTTTCCACTTGAAAATCATTTAAGGCAATAGCACATTCATTAGCAACTGGAGCTTCAGTTTCAGCAGCTATTTCAGACTGTAGGAGGCCAGTGGCCATTTTATTATTTCTATTTTTCATACTTTGTCCTTGTGCACTTCTTACAGTACAATTCCTTCTTCAACTGTAGTTCCTTGATAGCAATGGAGTAGAAATGGTTGGGAATCAAAATAAACCCAGAACTAGCTATTATCCGGAAGGAAAAAAATCATTAGAAGAAGAAAACAAATATAAATCTTGTTTTAGTTGATTTCAGAGATGTACCTGATGAAGAGTTCTTGTTGGCTCTTCTGTGAATGGGAATTTCCCAACTGGCATAGCCCAAAATAAAAAATTGCAAGAGTAAAATCTTGATTTGAAGGATTCTAATCTCCGGAGAGGAAGATACAATTCTGCTGAGGCTGCTTTCTCTGTTCCCCTCGAAGGCATAGACTCACTGCAGTTTTCTGTGAGTTAACTTCTCTGTGGATAAGTTTTTGATGCCTACCAATTACTGGGAAAATTGCTGCCTGGACAAAGCAGGAGGAAAAATAGCAAGCACCCCCAAATTAAGCTGAGCTTCTACTTAAGCAAAAGAAGCCTAAGCATTACTAAGGACAAGATTTGTTGTGCTTCAGGCTTTTTTCACAGGTACATGTGAAAAACCTGGATGATTTTTATAAGGTTGTGTAAGCTGCCGCTCTAGTGAAGACTTGCAGCGAGCTTGGAGTTGATTAGGTTTGGGGGTTTCTTTGAAGCTGATTTCGAAACTGCCACAAGACTTGCATTTTCTGGCTAAAAGTGTGGTGTGGGGATTGGAAAGGGCAACTTCGTACTTCTGATACCACTGAACCTGGTAGAAAATCACGTATCCTATCGTACACTTTGGTAATGGCTTTCCGATGAAAGTCAAAGAAACGAAGCGCACCTGAATCACTGGAATTTAACAATAATGTGATCCATCATGTGGCCCTGAAAAAGCTATTTTAGAGGATTAGAGTGTCATATTAGGCTATGTATAATATTTATGTGCACCTTATAAAATTCTTTGTGGCTAGGGTGAGTAACTTTTTGATGAGCAAATAAAATATCACCCTAGAGTATACATTTTTCATTTCGTATCTCTCACCCAGATACTTATGTTATGTTCATTATTAAAGTAAAAGGTGGGGATATACAGTAAATATTTGTCACTGTTGTGGAGGACTGATTTCAGTGACAGCACAAGCTGGGAGCTTGCTGACTGGAATAACTTCTGTTATAGCAGCTACTCTTGTTACAGCAGGAGAAAATCTGATATCCAGTCATATTTTTAAGTGATATTTGTGTACTGTGGGGTTCACTATAATTTGCGTCAGCTGCTAAAATGTACTTTTTATTTTCTGACTTTGAAAATGTATCTTGCAACCATAACATCCTTAGTGTCACCTGGTATAACTCAGCTGAGCTCAGCGCAGAGACATGAATTTATACGTGGTATAAATGCAGCCCAGTAAAAGAACGGATGTGGGAGCTTTGAACTCGTTCAAATCTAAACTACATCTAAATTAGTCTAAATTCATCCTCACAGGAGGAGATAACACTTCTATCCTGTGCTAGGATTCAATTTATTTCTGCTCTTTGCAGAAGTTTTACCTCAGGGATGAGTCTGCCTCGTAGCATGCGCGTATCGGTGCCTTGTCCTCGGGTTTACTGATTTAACAGCTCATGAGCCAGACTGCACTGCTCAGCACTCCATTGTGCTTCTGATAATTAATCAGATAGGGCTCTAATTACTGACTTTTGCAGAACTTAACTGTGGTCATCTGTAACGTCATCTGTTATTGACATACTGTGCGAATATAGGCAACAAAAAAAGAACTTGCAGGAATTTTCTAATGAAAATTCTAATGATTTTTCCATCATAAACCCTTTTTTATACAGCTTGTGTGGCCTCCTCGTTTGAAGGGATCTGCCCTTTCATGTATAGCCACATGACGCACCATATATTGAAAGCTTTCTAAACTGCAGGCACCCACGTGTAAGGTAACAGTCGTTTATATGAAGACACCTGCTCTGTCTTTTCTTCCTCTCTCAATCTGTCTGCATTGTGCATTCTCCTTTCCCATTGGAGATCAAGAGACATGGTGACTTAACTGGATTTTTTTTTTTTACAGCCTTCCAACAAGACTGGATCGAGAGTTGAATTAACCATGCCCAGCTTCTTCAAAAGTTCTTCACATTTCAGCTAGACTTGGGAGCAGCAGGAGGAGGAAACACTTCCCTGTTTTACGGGGTGCCACTAACGGTGTGTGCATTGTGTAGGGACAGTTGCTGGGGAACAAATTAATCACAGATTATTTATTTAACAAAGTGCACCATTGATGTTGCACTTGGGTGACTTTTTGCAAGCCTGTAGCAACTCACAGGCGCAAACCGGTATTAGCATATTTAAATTGAAGCAGAAACTACTGCTCTCTTGGCCTGTAGGCCATTTGGCAAGAGAGACACCTTACTAAAGAATTCAGGACCGGCTTAATGGCTTATTTTTATGGAACACACAAAACAGAAAAGTATTCCTGTGGCACAATGTGCAAACTCAGTAGATGCCTAATAACAGCACAGTCACCTACTTGTTTTGACGCAGGTCAAGAGGCTTTCTCCTCTAAAGTTTCTCTGAAGTTCTTTGTTTAAAGCTGCCTCCTCTATTTGATTTTTCAAGAGAGTTTAGCTGAAAAATCAGTAGGCTTTTTTCTTTTCCTATTATTTTGGGTGGTGTTCTAATGATTTTAAAGCCTTAGTTAATTAATATCAGCCAAGATAGTGGCTGAATGAGAAAGTTTTATTTGAAAACTTGAAAGTTATACTATACCTGTTGAATAAGTTAAAGATACATTCTATTGAGGATGCTGTTTCAATTTTTATTTACTTATATATGTGTGTGGTGTATATAGGCATAAAAACATCTTTTAAAATGCCTCTTTACTATATGTTTATTATAGATATTTATATGTTTATTATTATGTTTATTATAGATTCTTGGTTTAGGTGTTGCATGTGTGGTTTTGTCACATCTTGCAAAGGTCCATTGTGAGAATTTATTAAAAGAATATTACAAAATCTGCTTTTGTAGCAGGTCTGCGGGGGCCAAAGTTATTAATAGGAAGTTGACAGACAGTAGGAAACCTTGTTTTTCTGACAAAAGCAATTTAAAAATAAAAAACATGTAAAAAATCAGACAGCTTTTAATAATTGTTGACAACATGAATTTCTAGAAATACTTTCTAGCCATCTCTATATGGGGTAATTAGAATTTGTCAATGATTTCCTAATTAATAGCAAAGAAGATACACATTTCTGAGCTAATGCTTCCTGCATGCTGCGATGATACAAAGGAATACACAGTTCTGAAAACAGTGCTCCTTGTAGCCTGAGGATCAGTGAGCAGCCTGCTCTCTGTCAAGTTTTCTTTTATTTTGATGATTTTACTATTTTATTTTTTTTTAGGGTGGAGTCGTAATGTTTTGATGTCGGAATGAAGAGCAGGATCCCTCTCATCCTTCTAGCTTGTGGCTCCTTTAACCCCATCACAAACATGCATATGCGTTTATTTGAGCTGGCTAGAGATCACCTGCACCAAACAGGTCAGTAAGGCGGTGGCAGGAATTGTGGAGTCATAGAATGGCTCAGGTTGGAAGGGATCTTGGAGACCATCTCACCCAATGTCCCTGACACGAGACACACACACACACACAGTGTTTTACTGTGAAAAAGAACGTTTTTAAAACTCACTGTAGATAAGCTATGGCTTTGCAGCTAGCTTCATTTCAAGAGTTTATTGATCATTCAATATGAGGCTTTCATGGGATATTCAATATAGAAAGTCTAGCATTTCCTTTTCCTTTCTGTCAGTACCTAAAGAAGTAACATAATGAGCATTCACGCAAATAAACTGCAAGTTTTATCAGCAGTTTTAGGCTTGTATTCATTGAACAGGCTGAGCCTTGTGAAAGAGAATGTTTAACAATTTTGAAACTGAGAAGAAACATTTATGTTCAAATTCCGTGCTTTCATTATACATTGTGTTTTAATATGAAGAAGTGTTACAGTTAGCAGTTTTGACAGCCAGGTGAAACTGGAGAAAAGATGAAACATTAATAATTCATTATCCATCTTCGCTAAGAGATACAAGTTATCTCCCCTAGCAAAATAATTTCCTCATAAAGGAGATCAGAAAATCTAGATGTCAGCAGGGTAGAAAGTTTCAGCAACAAAGGAGAAAGGTAGGTAACATCACGAACTTAAGTAAGGATCAGAAAAGCTACTGAGAAGCATTGAACTCGAAGCTTGATCAACTACTTGTTTGTTGAAGCTTTTTTGGTTTTCCATCTGGCAGCTATAATATACACATATGGTTTTGGAAGAAGCTGGAAGGGAATGATAGCTTGTTGGAACCTGACAGAGAAGTTGGTGGGGAGGCAGTTCAATAGGTGCCTAAGAGTAAAAGGAATTTGGCTGTCACATTGTGGGGAGCAGAGGAGAGAATCTGGTGTCCTGCTGATGCCATTGTGCAGAAAAAGCAGCAACTGTGAGAATACAGGAGGAAGAATTACACAACTGGCTCTCAGGGCTGCCTCTGTGAGTCTCTGTTGCAACTGCAAAATGAATTTATGGCTCCTGCAGGACTAGAAATAAAGGGTTAAAAAGCTGTTTGAATCAGCTTCTCTTGCTGTAATTTTTGTAGTGCTTCCGCAGCCCGAGTGTGCGAGGAGTAGAAATGCATCGTGAGACCAAGTGGTCTTTCTGTTTAAGTCATACTTTATAGTCCAATAACTTATTTCTTTACCTTGAAAGAAGGATTGAACCACCAAATGAATAACGATTCTGTCTGAATCACAACTCACTGTCCAGTTGGCTCCAGGGGTTTGTCTAAGAAGACTCCACTCTTTACTCAGAGCACTTTACTTAAACAAGTCCAGTGAAAATCATATTCAAAATAAAATTTTCAAAGGCTAAAATGAAAGTTGTGCATTACATTTCATCTCTTTAACACTGATGCTTAGTTCTGGATAGGATGTGACTTATTTTTTGACTTCTTAATGTGTGAATTCTGACTAGTATGAGTACTTTATGCATTAAGGAAGCTGATTTCATTTGTGTCTGAGTTGCCTACAGCGTCGTCGTTGCACTTTCTGAATGCTTAATCCGGGATATCTACAAGCCAGGAATCCACCATTAGCTTGTGGAAGCTTTACTCCTCCTGAGTAGAGGTAGCTTTACTTGAAGTAACTGAAGTGTAGATAGATGTGTTTACACGGATACATACAAATCTGGTACACGGTCTTTCTTGCCAGACAGTTTCTCAAACAAAAAGTGTTGGCAACATGCTATAAAAATGATCAGTTCTGGATGTTTTATGGCAGAAAAGTCCCCACCCAGGAAATTAATTGGTCATTCCCTCACGCTTTTAGTCTTGTTTCTGCTTCTGTGGTTACCCAGGGAAGGAGAGGAGAAATTGGAGCTTATTTGCTGAGAAGAAGCACTAGTTGCAGACTGGAAGCTGATAATGGGGCTGGAGGATAATGGTTATATGTGACCAAAGCTGGTCTGAAGCGAGGCTGTGGTCTGCCAGATCAAGAGTCCCTTCTTAGCCAGAACAACAGGTTTCCAAGCTAACACGCACATTGAATGCTTGAAAAAGTAACTAGAATCAAAGAGTTAACTAGCATGAGGGGTGATGTTTCCTAGGCTGTAGAAATGACTTACTTCTGGTGCTACTTCAGTATTTGTCCTCAATCACAAATTGGGTAGAAACTGTAAGTTGTGCAGAAGCTTGGCTGGAGCTGACTTCACAGTCGGATTTTGCTGTTAGGAACTATGTGACTGTTCCTGACTGGCATCTCCAGTAACTCTGTCTGCCAGCTTTTTGCACATCACTTGCTTCAAGTGCTGTCTCATTTTTCATACATCTCTATTTCAAGCAGGGAATTTTATTGAGTTTCTGATACTTTGAGCAGTATCTGCAGTTCCATTGCCACATGTTATGTAATTCATCCTTTTTCTGTTAATATGAAATGACAAATCTCGTCATGCTGCTTTTTAAATACAACAGGCTTAGCTACGTGTGACTGAATAATGCTTATCTGACTTTTGTTTCTGCTCATGTGAATTTGGCTCTTTACACATCATCACACCTAGAGTCTTCTCAGATTCAGTCCCTTGTTTTAAAATTGTTTCTGGAAACTTGCAGACTGTGGCAAATGCCTTTCCAGTCTGTTAACATTTAATGCCAGATACTTTTATTTCTCTTTGTATTTCTCATTTGACTGTAAAGTCCAAAGAAGTAGTACTAAAATCAAACTACATAAGAAGTTTAAGACATTCTCTTCCAAGTATCACCAGTGGAGAATTCTCATATCATTCTGTTTCCAGACAAGACCACATAAGGGATAAAAGGCAAAGGAAGGGGTTGTGATAGGCAGGACTGTGACAAGGGGTTGTGAAAGGCAAGGTTGTGACAAGACAGATGCAAGGGAGAGGTGAAGGAAAATGAGTTACTATCTTACGAAAACTTGGGAAAAGTGTGATACAGTCAACAGATTGAACTGAGAAGTCCAAGGAATAATTAGTCACTAACCAGCCTTGGGAATTGAGAAGTTTGTGTTGTTCAAGGCCCACATCTGATTAAAATGGACCGGTATTTTCAAGAAAGGGACAGGAACAGCGTGTAACAGCAGCAAGTCAGCAGAAGTGCACAGGCTTCCATTTGTTCTGCGACAACAGTTCTGATAACCAGAATTTGAAAACATCGCAAAATAACCAGCGATGTTACATGGTAAAAGTCAGCTTGGATAAGAGCATTTCAGAATAAGGTGTCCTGTGAGTAGAGCTACAATGCTTTATTATTCACATTATTACTCTTAAGACGGTGTGTTTAGCCTTCCTTTCTGGAGGAATTGCTCATTTTCATAGCTATCAAAAAGCTGCCTGTCCTACCTTTTGTCCAAAGCCACTGAATTCTACAGAAGTGAAAATTTATTTTGAGGTCTTGATACAAAAGGTTTATTACAGATGTGACGTGCAGAGATCACTGGGCATTTATCTGAGAACGGATCGTTGTGCATGCCCAGTTACTCAGCTGTTGGAGAAGAGTTCCTGAAGTCGCAGTGTATTTGAGTGGCTGTCTGACCACAGAGGTAAATCTGCATCTTCAGGTGCCGTAGTTCACTCAGCCAGGTGGATATGATTTGTGTTTGTCTCGGTACTCATACGGCACCTGTCACTACAGTCTTTGCACGCCTCATCTAATTCAGTGAATGCATTTGTCAAGCCCTTTCGAAGCGGTGAGGGTAAAGTCATCCATCCTGTGGAGAGCTATCCTAAAAGA